ATTCTCATACTCATCCTCTTCTCCTCCTTCAGTCTCAGTGAACTCTTCTGTTGTACCCTCACTAAAATCACTCTGAACTGTCACATTCGTTAGGTCATGCTCCTCAGTAACAATGATGGACGGAGCAACAGTTTCTTCCTCATGGTCTGACGCATCGATAACATCGTCATTCACGTTTGCATGTTTTGACGATGCTTGATTAGTTGACATTTGTTCAGACGACCCATGGGATTCTGAAGAGTCTGACCACTCAGCAAACTTTCCAAATTTTACGAGAGGGTACTTCCCTTGGAACATTATTTTCCCCTTACGGTTCTGCTTGATTAAGCTCACAGTGTTTGGTCCGAAAGCTTTCATGTCAAGTATTTCTCCTGTCTTGACCAGATCGGGAAATAGGATGTTGATGAAGATTTGAATAAATCTTGGATAGAGCAGGAATTGATCCTTCGACTTCTTGTTAGCATTAGTAACCATATCCTCCAAGATAAACTTTGAGAAGTTGAAGTCAATCCCGGCAGCCAATGCAACGATCGCCTGAGTATTTCTCGAGGATATTTCGTCTGAACCACCCTTTCTCCCAGATATGCAGTTGACAAAAACGTGAGCTAGAAACCTCCAGTAGGGAGGTAACATCTTCTTTAGGGTTGGTGGAAAGACTCCTTCATATCCCATCTTCTCGAGATACTCATCAACTAGTCTCAGATCTATATCAGTCGGATAAGCAGCTTTGTCATCAATCTTTAAAACATCTCTGATGATTTGCTCATAGATAACAACTTTGCAACCCCTGACAGAAGCTTCAATTTTCACTGATCCATTGTCTCCATTCTTGACACTTGCAGATCTCCAGAAATCATTGATCAGGTTCAGATAAACAATGGGGTTCCAGGTAAGTGCGGTTGAAATGCAGCATTCCCTTAGCCTGTACATCATTGATTTGAACTCGTTGTGTGCTACTGGAGGATCATCAAGAAGAATGGACACGTTGTGACTGTCTGCAATTTTTAGACTTGCCATTTTACCTGCATAAAACTGACCAGGTGAGAAAACATTTGATAATAACAAATTAAAAATTATTTTCTCAATTATATCAATTAATTTTGGCCATTTCATATGAATTTTATTAGTCAAAAATTTGGTTCTCGGTCAAGACAGTCAGACCGAAAGCTCATGGACTGAACACTAGTGTTGACCGAAAGCCATTTGGGACCGAATAGAGCTCAAGAGAAAGCCGTCTGAGCCGGCTTGACCGAAAACGGCTCGGCTTGACCGAAAGCCGGTTAGCCGACGAACCGAAAACGGCTCGGCTTCGACCAAAAGCTGAGAAGGACCGAAAGCTCGCCGACAGTCATGTTTTCGCGATTTTGCTTCGATTTCACGGTCGATTCTCGGTAAAAATTACATAGGCATGGTCAGAATCTTCATACCTTCAAGAAAAACAAGTCGATTTGAAGAAATAACACAAAACATTTTCGAGGGTTTGAGAGAAATCTTGGAGGTATTCGGTCAGAGAGGATGAAATGAGGGAAGAACTGAATTCGGTGTCCCCTTTCCCTTATATACCTGGCCCAAACCCGGTTCTTCACCCATGGGCTGATCCCGATTTCAATTAGCATTAAGCCCAATACTCAAAAATTTTAAAAATAAATCATTTTGAGGATTAATTTCAAAGTAAAATAAAAATTTTCTAAATTTTACCAATCCTAAAAATTTAAAGAATAAAAATAAAAATAAAATAAAATAAAAAACATTTTCTAAAATTTATCAATCCTAACAAATGAAAATAAAATAAAATAAGATAAAATACCAAATTTTTTAATTCAAACTAATTTTAATCCTCTATCTTGAAATTGATTAACTTTTTGTGATATGAGATCAAAGTTGTTAGACAATCATTTTCCATTTATCAGTACCTCTCCTTTCATGAATAGATCTGGTCGATCGCCGATATTGTGGTCCACTTAAGCACGAAAAATTGTGACAAGTTTTTAGGAATGCTATCAGTGACTGGACAAATTGATCCTAAGTTACTAGATAAAAATTCCTAAAGACCATTTATCTGACGACGACCAAGGATATTGTTGTCCACCTAAATTGAGCAGCGAGATCTACAGACAATCTAGAATTGTTCAATTTTAAGTATACTAGAACATGTTTCCCGCTTCCTGACATACCCCAATAATAAAGAACTTCCGAAATACTCCTTACTTTAGGTGAGCAGACGATTATTCATAGAGAGGATAGATTTAGATTGCATATGCTGTACACTCAGGTCGGATCTTTCAATCACGCAGAGAGTGAAACATATGACTGACTAGAATTTTAAAGGGATTGAGAAGTAGAAGGTTGCATATGCTGTGTGCCAGGTCGAATTGTTAATCACGCAAAGGAGACAACATATGGCTAACAGATAGGAAGAATTGCATAGATAGAAGATGCAGAGAAATAGAGTTGCATATGCTGCATTCCAGGTCGGATCTTTCGATCACACAGAGGAGGCAACATATGACTAACAGTAGGAGAGAAAGAAAATAATTTCCTACATACCTACTTTATCGGAATTCCCCAGTCGCCCCGTGAATATCGGAATTAAGGACAAAATCCATACATCGAGGAAAAGTTAAACCACAGTTCTAGATACAGGTTCTTTAATGTAACTGGTGGATTCTCATGTATATCTCCCTGCTCAACCTACCCAAGCGTCGTATTGTCAGGCTAAATGGAACTATCTAGGTCACAAATTTGTCAAATCTCTAGATTCCTTAAGTTCATCTGCACCTAGTCAACTCCATTAAATTTTTCGTGCCTACCAGCGCATCGAACACAAAGCCTAGACAATTTAGCTTTGGTACTTTACACAGACTCAGATTGTCTGTTATCACAAGCTGATATCACTTCCCATCACATCATTTCTCAGTGATATTTTTGAATTTTTTGTTTTTCTAATGGTTTTGGATTTTCTGATTTTCTATTGTTTTTGGATTTTTAATTTTCTAATTTTTGTTTGAGTTTTGTTTATTTCTCCCAATTGTAAGGTCCTTGATGGAAGGATCTTCACCAATGATCAATCAAGCAAATGAAAATAAAGAAGAAATTGAGTAGAAGATGAAATGAAACCGAGCTTGCATACAATAACACAAGGAAATTGTCTGATACAACTTAGGAGGACCGAAAACTAGCAGTGAACAACTGTAGATCAACAACTTACTACTAACATCCTGACAACCTATATATACCAATATGGACCGAAAATAGGTTTCGGTCAGGCTGACCGAAAGCCTGTTTTCGGTCACTTCCAACCGAGAACAATGGCCTAGACCGAAAACGTCAAATACACACAAAAGACTCCAAAATACATTGGCAAATGCCCTAACTCATCTATACATTGTTGCCTAGGCCAAACCATATATATTGGCCCTTCACATGTAACTCATGTCTTTCCATATTCCTCATGATCCATGGGTTTTAGACTCCATGGAGTATTCATGGGTCACCACATGAGTTTAGTCCAACATGAGGAACTATGGATCATAAGACCACTACACAAGAATGCATGATTTACTAAATCAATCCCCATTTATTTAATTAGTCTCTTCTGATCACAAAATTAATTCCAAACTAATTCTTGATCAATACTAATTAAATAATTCATATTAATATATTAGAACTTATAATATATTAATAAACCATAAATATCCTCTTCTCACAAAAGTCTATCCAAATTGTTCCGATGCCATGCAACCCAAATGGACCATGCCAAGTCGGGTCAAGTACATACCAAATATAGTTATGGACTTAGACACCTTATCCAACACTTTATTGTCTGTAAAAGCTCTCTTCGAACTTCCATATACCACAAGATAATCTTCTTTATCTCTGCCTTATCTCCATCATCATTCTTGTTGCAATTGTTGATTCGAATCAAGATATTTGTGAAATGGTAATTTGCATATATTTCCAGATCAAAGACTTAAAACAAAAACTTCATCATATTCCCTCTTTTGTTCTTTCCCCAGAATACCGCACCATAAGGCCGATGTATGATTTCTCTGTCTTCAAATTCATAATTATTTAATTTTTCCTTCAATAGAGTTTGTGGCACTTTTGCAGTCTTCTTGATAGCCAAGGCAACATCAATATCGGTAATAGCCATGTAATCATAGTAGCAATACTGAAAAACCTTAATATGACCAAATCCGAGAATGAACTCATTTTTGTTCATCTCCGGAAACTTCAACACATCCACATTGATCAATATCTTTGTGATTGAGATAAGATCATTCATATTCATCAGGGGAAAATTAGCAACCTGAACTCAAACTCCACATTATTTTCTCTTACAACAGAATACGGAAAGTTCTAAAGTAAACCCTAGAACAAAGTATCCCTTTCAATTTTCATTACCTTCACGGTCTTCACCAAAGACCATACATCATCTTCATTCTTTCCTTAGATTACATGAAATCGAATCTTCAGCCTTTTGTATTCGCTTTTGTATTTGAATTGTTCTGCCAATTTGAACTGTGGAGATGTGAAAAGCATGTGATTGATCGGAAAATCGAGTTGATTGAAATCAGAATTTTCAGTCTAAAAACTCTTCTTCGGTCTTTTGAGAAATTCATCACTCTTTTTAAAACAACTATTCCTATTGTTTCATAACACCAATGCTTGTTTAGATCACATTTTTCAAGCCTGGTGGGTCGTTCTCCCTCTGTCGAAGAATGTTGTTTATCTGTCTTTGACGTTCCAACTCTACTACTTGTAACTTGTTTTTTCCTCATCCGATTGTGCAATTAGAATGACCTTTCCTTTGTCTTTCGTTGAAGTTTTTTTGATAAGAGCAGTACACAAACCTCCTTCACTCTCCTTGATCGAAATCCCTTTCAATGGAACTTTTGGCACATTTGTTGTTGTAGAAGTTGTTGTCGAAGATACAATTATAGGCTACATAGGGATTGTTGTTGGAATTTGAGTCGAAATAACCTTCCCAACAACGATTCCTATATCATCACCATAAACTTTTGAAGATCTATCTCCTCCACCTCCTCTTTCTCCCCTTGCAAAATTTGCGCAGCACGAGCATTTGTTGGTAAACGAAGTACCAAACTAAGGATTGTAGCCAACTCATCTTTGATGTTCGACTTAATATTCGAAACCATCATTGAGATAGATTCTTGAGAGATGTTAGATTGATTCGAAAGATCCACCTTCAAGAAAGTGTCTTTAATCCCAGACAAGAATTCCTCCACTTTCTCAAACACCTTTTCATCCGGCTTAGAATTAGCTTGAAACTCCTTTGTATACTCGTTGTCGAACTTAACCAAATGAGTTATAGCACCAATAATAACATCCACTTTTCCATGCAACAATTTGTAATTTTCCTCCAGCTTCTTGACTTCTTCCGACATCAAAGATTTTATCTTAGAAACCTTGAGATCAAGAGACTCCTTCGTTGCATTCACCTTTTCCATAAAAAATTCATGACGTTCCTGAGCAACATCACGAAGCTTTTGAATCTCATAATAAAAACTCTTTGAATGAGTAACCAATCGTTCTTCTTGTTTTGGCTCAACAACCTCAATCAAATTCCGCAATCGTGATTCTTGAGATTTCAACAAATAATCCATCTCAACCCCAGTCACATAATTCTTCCCTCTAGTATCAACTGTAATTTGAAGAAGAGAATTGATCTTTGAGTTTATAATTCTTAATTGCTTACCTGACATGATTAGTTCATCAGGAATATCATTTTCTTCTGGATTGAATTGAAGCTCTGCAAACGAAACCATGACATTTTCATCATCATCCTCGTCTCCTGGAAGTGACTTCCTAGTTACTTGTGAGGAGAAAAGAGTTGTGATAGGTTCTTGCATAACACCAAAAAATGTTGGTGAGACAGTAGAAATAGAAACGAAAGTAGGAATGGGTGATGTTGGTGGTGGAAAAACTATTGAAGTTGCAATGGAAGTTCCCTACATCCATGTTGACATGTTTGTCCTTATTAGATAAGTTCGCAGTGATGTCTGGAGTTCTGAAATCCTCCCTAAATGACTCGGTATTCGAAACCCCGAATGGTTTGACTAAAGCCTTCTCATGGATATTGGTTTGTTGTTGGTTACACGAATCAATGTTTGCATCTGTATCAGATACGTTTACAGTGATATTAGGAATCCTTGTCTCCTCAAAAGTCGATTTGACAGGGGTATCCTTTCGTGGTGATCCAATAAAAGAATCCTCAATTCGAATGTATGACCTATCGCTATCACTATCATTCTCAGTCTCGACTGTTACTTCCTCAAGTCGAACTTCAGAATGATTATTCTTTGTCTTTTTTATCTTTTGCACAACATCTATAGCTCGATGCTTCTTTGTTGCTAGGAACCAGGAATCGAAATCTCACGGATTACAACTCCCCTTCTAGTAAACTGTAACTTCTTAACTCGTTTTGAAACACTCTTTTTCCCAACTAGTTCACTTTCCGTGTAATTATATATATATTTAGAACAGAAGTTTCAACAACCATGGGCTCTAGAGTCTCGACAATTGGCTCTGGATCTTGAGTAGGTTTCGTGATTGCAGAATCATAAGTTTTCTTCGATGATTTTTTGGTTTGTTTAAGTACCCTTTTACCATTCTTCGTTGATATTGTCTCTTTAACCAAATTCTCCTCTACATCTTTTAGATTTGATGTATGTTTCTTCGTCTTGGAAACTTTAGACCATTTTGACGAACATTTCCCTTTTTGAGAAGCCTTTGGTGGAAGAACACCAGTTGGAGTCGAATCAATGGAAGCCAAATATTCCACCAGCAAATGATTCTTAGGGTCCACTAGATTGATCATCGAATCAGGGATTCGAGCAACAACATGAAAAATAGTAACATCATCCACAATCATCTTAGGAACTGTCATTGTGGGAAATTCAGTTGTTACAACCCCTGATGGAATAAGAATATTTTACTGGCTGTAAATTTCCTTCAAAATTAACCCCCAAAACCTAGCACTCGCCATTCTAGTTGCTAGTTTACAATGCGAAATCGAGGTCCCAAATTCTTCCTACAGTAGTGAAGCATAGTCTACATTCCGACCATAATACAGACCCACCAGCACTGAATAAACTTCTAGTTTAGTTTTATCCAGCCCAGAAATCCTCCCTGTCAAGCACCATAAGATAATCCCAAACACAAAACTCCAAATACTGGGAAGGATCGACTTCTTAAAGGAACTAATACTCACCAGAGAAGGTTGATGTCCCATCTCATTAAACATGTGAACAACCTGATCATTAGAGACTTTGTAAAAGTTACCTGACGTTGGTAATTTCAATATTTTGGCAAACCTCTTCCGAGTAAACTTCGTTTTCTTTGAAGAGGAAATCTGGAAAGTGAGAACTTTGGTTGTCTTGTTGAAAAGAGTCGTAGAAGCAGCAAGAGATAACCATTCCGTTGGAATAGAAAACATTATAGATAGAGCAAACGAAAGAACACTATTGTTCAAAATCTGAACAAGCAGATGAAATTCACTCGGATACACATCCAGAGATGGAATAAGACGAAGATTGGTGCGGGAAATCTTCATCATCGGTTGGGAAATTTCATCTTCATTGGTTTAACGGGATTAACATTGAGTTGAGTAGCATCCATTTGAGATAATTTTTGGAAGAAATTTGGAATGAAAACCGCCAATGAACAGTTAGATTTCTTGGAAATTTTCAGAGAGCATGAACCAAAAATCGGAAGACCAATTTTCCTTATATAACTGGCTTGAATTTTGAATTCAAACCGTTTCCCAATGGAAAAATGCCACGTGGAAAAGTGGTGATTACTTTTCCCCTAAGTTCTCGTGTAAATCTTGAACCGTCACTTCAACGAGATCGTTTGCTTCCCCCAATCGGATAAGAACCGTCATAAGTTTCGATACCAAGAGAGATAGTAAAAGTTTTGTGACCAATAGAGAACCATCCTTCAGCATGGAGGTTAGGCTCTTTCACTTATGGGAAGGATAAGTAAAACCATTTGCCAGTCTTTGCAAAATGTAAGTTTCAAGTTGGTAATACCCAAAACCTCAAGGATTTCAGTGCTTTAGTGTGCCAAAGAATGAGATAGAAGCAAGAAAAAATATAGGTATCGTGATATCAAAGATCCTTTGATATGAAAATAGAGTGATCCTGGGCAAAGATCTCTTCATTCGACATCAAGAAAGATGGCAAATTGCTTGTGTGGTTTCACGTGAAGTACAATCGAAAAACTCTTTGAGGAGCATCGAAGGGCCTATTTTTTGTTAGGTTCAAAGGTAGTTTCATTTTCACATAAGTTCATAACTTAACATAAGTGTGATACAATATGGAAAAATACTTGGATGACCAGTGTAGTGAACAAGTCGGTTTGTGAAAATTTCGAGTAACTAAGAATGAGAAAAAGATATTCAAACTGAAATCTCATATCATATTCAAATAAAAATCTGGATCTTTTGGGTAAAAATAATTAGGGATTAGTACATTTTATCATGATCACGCAATACGAATGAAATGAGATTTAGAATATTAAAAAGTGGTACATTGAAACAAAGGTTTCATTAAAATCTTGAACAATAATGTTCACCGTCAATTCATTGAAGTTAAAGTTTGTTGGGTTTCACCATCATCACGGAAAAATGATTCAGGATCATTAACACAGAGTTGAGACATACCTATATCCTGATAGATTTCGACCAGAGATGTATTGGGTATATGTTATTGTGTGTGAAAGTGAAAGAATGTTGGGTGAAAAAGATTGGTTAGAAAGACTCAATATACCTCTACAAAAAAATTTGGAGTTAACAAAAATCTCTTTACTCATCGTGAGAAGAGAAAGGTAGCTCATCGAATAATGTGAATGTGGCTTGATTAGGAAGAAACTTTCGTGTTGATAGTTTCATTAACTCTTCGAACACATAGAGTCTTTGAGGCTTGAGGACAACATGTTGCAGCATGCTTGTAGGGACACTGAACTAGTTCATAGTTTCGAATCATACCTGTTCCATTTTATATATACTTATGTGGCATGCGACAGTACACCATATTGTTACAATGAGATTCCCCAAAGTCAAACAAAACAAAAATATTTTTGGATTTTGGATTTATAGAAAACAAAAAAAAAAGATAATCTTTTTTGGATTTTTGATTTGTAGAAAGCAAAAACAAAAATAAGAAAATGTTTTTGGATATTTGATTTATAGAAAGTAAAAAAAATAAGAAAATCTTTTTGAATTTTTGATTTATAGAAAGCAAAAAGAAAGTCAATTGCCGAAAATCATCCTCCATACTCGAAAGGGATACTGAATGATTCAGAATGAACTCGAATGCGAAGGCAATCGAACGCTTAACATATAAGTAACCTCTGAATACGAATGAAACAAGAAACAAAAGTTAAAAGAACACTCAAAACTCATACCTACGAATCGAAAGTGATGTACACAATCGACGGTAAGGTAAAACATATATCTAGAGCAATTATGTTAAATATGGAACAAAACATGCATCCATCATTCCTAAACCATGTAAAATCCTTAAAAATGATTTTTCATCTAAAGGTTTCATGAAAATACAAGCAAGTGGATCTGTTGTTTTGACGAAATGAACTTCAATATTTCCATCTTCAACGTTATCTTTTATGAAGTGGTAACGAAGAGCAATATGCTTGGTTTTCGAATGTTGAACTGGATTGTGACAAATGTGAATAACACTTTGTAAATCACAATACAAAGGTATTTTCTTCATATTTATTGCATATTTATGCAATTGACTTTGTGTCCAGATCACTTGAGATGTGCACGCAACAACATCAATGTATTCAGCCTCAGTTGTCAAAATAGAAACGCATGTCTGCTTTTTTGATTGCCAACTCACAAGTTTCCCATCCAGTAATTGACATCCTCCAGTAGTAATTTGTCGATCCAATTGACAACCCCCAAGATCCGTATCATAAAAAGCTTGAAAAAAGAATCCAGTTTTCGCTAGATACCACAATCCTAATGCTTTTGCACTATGAAGATATCGAAAGATATTCTTCACTGCAGTAAGATGGGTTATCTTGGGTTCGATTTATACCTTGCACAATTACATACAGAAAACATAATATCATGTCTACTTGCAGTTAAATACAAAAGCGAACCTATCATGCTCCTATATGTTGTAAGATCGACAGCAGGCTTATCCAGCGAAGGACTTATGTAACGACCCAATTTTACCAAGAAAAATTTTCATTTTTAGTTAACCAAAACCAATCTCATAAACCATAAAATCCCAAAACATTTGTTTTCAAATCAACATTCATTACATCATTGTTTTTCCTTTTTAAAACATCAGAGGGTCCCATACACATCAAAAGAGAGATAGAGTGCACGCCACGTCATCACGCCTTGCCTTTACCCTTAGGCTCAGAAGTACCTAAAACAAATCAACAACCTGTAAGCGAAATGCTTAGTGAGTTTCCCAGAGCATACCACACACATTCACATACACATATCCTGATAGCTAAATAAGCTATAAACATGCCACAGAAACTATGCAATATGATTCAGCAAGAATGCCATGGGCTACCCCACATGGTCTTTACCTAGGACTGCCACAGGCTACCCCATATGGCCTTACATCCAATGCCATGGGCTACCCCACATGGTCTTTACCTAGGACTGCCATGGGCTACCCCACATGGTCTTATATCCAATGCCACGGGCTCCCCCCGGGGTCTTCCATACCAACATAATATCACATAACATATCAATCCATAAATGAATAACACACACATAACATGATCACATAATGGGCCGACCTTGGTGCCGTAGACCCATAGGTATGGTGAGAAGACTCACCTCCGTCCGATGAATACAAATACT